TTAGCTTGTTGCCCGGTATGGCCGCCAGCATGCCGTTGCAAGCCTTTTCAATGGCCTCTACGTCTGCATTACGCTATCCTTTTATCGGCAAGTGCTTTTTTCCGAAAAGGTAGAGGTCGCACGGTGCCATATCAGTTGAATACGGTTAGTGGTTGATTGTTAAAATTGATTTTTGGTCAAATAATCGGCCACAAGCGTCGATCGATGAGACGGCGCATTATCGTGTAACAAACGGCAACTTCCATCTTCGGGATATTCGGGCCGAACACGTCGAATACGGCGCACCAAACGCTTCAAAACTCCAAGGTAAAATACCGCATTAACGTTTTGGCCGGGTGGTACAAATTCTTTGTGGACAATACGCTTGGAGTCATAAAAACAAATCAGCATTGTCTTCACTTTTGACTTCTCCAGGTGTGATTTTTTGGGTTTCGGCTCGTCTGGCGCCTTCCCCTCAGCACTCTGGCGCTTAGTTTCGGGATCATATTGAAAACACTACGTTTTGTCACCAGTCACAATCTTGTAAAGGCAGTTCGGTTCTTTTTTTGCTTCTCTAATGAAGTCCTTCGAATGTTGAATTCTGAGCAATTTTTGGTCGTCAGTTAATTTGTGCTCATTTTCGCACCGATGATAAAAACATACTGACATTTAAAACACAATAACTTCGCTTCCAAGAGATGAAATGTTTTGAAATTTTTACAGGAAGTCGATAAAGAATAGCAAATTCTAACGTACTAGTCGACATATAGATGGCGCCACTAGAGGGCGCTAGATTCAAAAAGTCCTGTTTACTTTGGAACTCAACTTGTATCATGTAACGCTTTATTTTTACCAAGCCTAAAATACCGAAAGCTGCGGCAATCGTTTTAACGGCTCTGAGGTAAAAATTGTTTAGGGAAAGAGTACTCTTACTTCCATTTCTTTTCCACCAGTTCAGAATTAGTCACTAAATTGCCGTATATTGCTGAACTATTGCTTAGTGCGTTCTAATTTTTGCTGCAGTGGACTAACAATTACACATACACTTCCAAATTAATACATATGTATGTATGTATGCATGTATGTACGTATCTACATTGATGAATTGTCAAATAGTAGCCGACATAATGAATGTGAAACGTATTTTTACTTCTACTCTGCTACGTGATTTTTCATGATTTGCGTGACATTCCCTCATAGTGAGCGTTTAGAAATGCACTTACAATCCCCTTACTTACATACGTACATATGTATGTATATTATATTCATATATACGTCTATATGCCATATCATTCTTGTTGTTTACTTTCAGACATCCTGCAAAGCCAATGTCTATGTTAGTTAGTAAATCGGATGTCTAAGCCAAAGCTTTACATAGTACACTTAGGCATTTGTCACAGAAGGGAAATTTTACTTTTACTGCGCACAACCATAGTATGAACGACGAAGAAGTAGTAGAAGAAGAAGAAGACTTTTGTAACAAATTTAATGCGGCAAATTGCATGTAGCATTGTGGTTTTTGCAAGAAAATTCTCTTAATTATTTCCTTTAGAAAATGCCTAAACGGAAATGTAGAATACACCTGTGCGTTGAGCAATTTTTATTTATGTATATGAATATTAATACCACAAAATGTTGCAAGACATCTTGCAAAATGTGCAAAATGGTAGGTTAGTGTGTAACAAACATAAATATTCACTTCTACTTTTTTTTAACTCATTCTCGTTTTCTTTTCCCCATAAACCAGCTTACGAGGGTGCCAAAATATTCTGGCAGACCTTAAAAAAGCAGGCGGAAATGCATTACATTTGCACATGCGGCAATTAATCAGTCTTATTTGCATGCATTTCATGCAACTGCTGCAAATTCGCATACTTTTCCGTGCCAATGTGGGAAAGCGAAAAATGTGAGGAAGAAGCTTTGAACGGACTTTTGATATTTTTTGTCTAGAATATTTACTTTCGCTCTACCGTTGTTTTACTTTTTCAGGAAAAGTGTAAACGAAACCAAGGACTCCGGTTGATAGCGATTTTCACTTTTTATTTGAAAAAGAATAGGTAGAAAATAAAGTAAGGTATTTACATCTTTTTTAGAACAAATGTAGATATGTGTAACGTAAATGTATTATTAGTGTTTCATATTTTATCCTTTGCCATCAGATCCATCAGAGTACGTTCTATTTAATTTTTTTTATCGTCAATTAAATTCAGCCATTAGTTTCTTATATTCACTGTTTGCTCCCATTTGGAAATACCAAGTCAGACCCGGTCGCTCTTCACTTTATCGTTCCATAAATTGTGTTTATATAAATTGTGCAGTTCATCGTTTCTTCGTCTGCGGTATTCGCTGTAGTCAATGCGCAAAGGACCAAACGAGTAAATCGTTCGAAAAACCCTTGAAAACTTCTAACTCTATGACTCCATGACTCCCCACGATAAGAGTATAGCAGAACGAGAACGATAAGTGACTTGAAGAGCTTGGTTTTCGTTCGACGAAAGAGGACTTCACTTTTCAATTGTCTGCTCAGTTCACAATAGCACCTGTTGGCAAGAGTGATTCCACGTTGGATTTCAAGGCTGACGTTATAATTGCTGTTAATGCTGCTTCTTAGATACACAAAATTATCTGCCAAAAGTGAGGTGGGAGTAAAGTCGCGTATGCGATGACTGTTTGTTTGTTGTCAAGAGATATTTTGTCTTGTCCTCGTTCACTACTTGACCCTTTCGCTTTGCTTCTTTATTAAGCCTTTAGAAACCAGAACTAACGGCACAGTTGTGGAGACCGATAATGTCAATATCATCGGCGTACGCCAGTAGTTTTACACTCTTATAGAAGATGGTATCTTCTCTATTCAGCTTTGCAGCTCTTATTATTCTCTCTAGCGTCAAATTGAAGAAATAACACGACAAAGAGTCAACCTGTCTGAAACCTCGTTTGGTATCGAACGGCTCGGAGAGGACTTTCCCAATTCTGACTGCGCTCCTAGTGTTGTCTAGCGTCAGGTTATACAGCCTTATAAGTTTTGCGGGAATACCAAATTCAGACATATCTATTCGTGGGGTGTAATAGGGTGTAGTCACGCATCTGGATATGCTGTTACAGTTGCGAAGCTATACTAAAATCCTACTCTTGCATCCACGTTGCACACCTTGGAAACGTGAGCAGCCCTTATGCAAGATGCGGTAAGCAACCCGTGTGGAGCCTGAGGTCACGACTAATGGGAGAGGAAGCTTCAGTGGAGCCACTCCGACTTATTCGGTTTAAGGGTTTGCTAAGTCTAATTGCAGCGTCTGTTCAGCAGAGGTGCGGTTGCGAGCGGACGTCGGCTCACTATATAAATGTGTAAAAAAACTTTAAACTTATTCGTCCTCCGAGGCTGTGCGCTGGGTTTCGGACCCGCCACGTAGACACCAGTTCCAATGAAAAATTTTACAATGCTTCGGATGGGTATCTCATCCTTTCTGTTGACGACCCCCACAAACGAAGCTACGATTACACAAAAAAAATACATAGGCCTTTGTTTTTCATCTTGCTACGACCGTGTGTCGTAAAGAATCGAATATTTTGTAGCATCCAGGAATCTATGACCCAACAAATTTTAGAGATTAAAGAAAGGATTGAAGATATTTTCGGGCATCGCTGCATGAGTATTTTATTGGTACTGTTTACCCCAAAGGTTGTTTCAAGAACTTTGACAAACGGAATACGACAATATAAATTGCGCTTGCAGTAATATTGTTGAATAGTCTCAATTAGATAGAATACCAATAATGCGAACTGCCAAATATGTATGCAAAACCAGAGTTTCACACGTTTCTACATACACATACATTTACATATGTGCAAGCTCAAATGGTAGAAAAATAACACGCTTAGCTGCTGGTAACCATTGAAAAAGCAAAGTGAAGCACGTCGTGTAGTCACATTTGCTCCACATGTCATCTTTATGGCTGCAGTGATTCGTGTTGCATCGCAAACTGACAAACATTTGCTTAGTCACATAAGACGCCACACAAATTTACGTAGCTGCTGCTGCATGCCACTTGATTAAGTGAACTGTTAGTGGAAGCAGTTGAGCGTGCTGAATAGAGCACGTGCTGGCGACGTTTCAACAAAAAAAAAAAACGAAAACCTAAGCCATTGGCCAGCAGACAATCAACAGAAAAAGTGTATAATAAAGAAACTGTAGTAGCAGAAGTGGTTAGGAAAAATGAGTTTGCCAGAATATAATACTAACACGGAGGTGTGGTCCTCACTCGCTACTTTCTAAATATGTCCAACCCTTCTATTTGACAAAACGTTTGTGTAGCTTAAGTACGGGATAACAACGTTTTAAGGAATGCAAAAATGATAGAGGAAAAAGTCTTAAAAACAAAAGCAAATAAAGACAAAATAGTGGTTTTGAAAGTAAAGTGAACGAAATTGGCGAGAAAACAGGTAAATCGACATGTTGCAGGCTAAGCCCACAGGCACTTTGCAAGTACGAACTTAAATGGAGATTTCGTTGGTCAGTTGGTCGTTGCGTAGCACATACTCACGCGCATGAGTACATGTTGAGTTGCAGGCAGACCTTTTATATTCACACTTTTGACTGCCACTAAAAGGCAAGTTGCCAAAAAGAGCCACTTGTGCGGTGACAAGCTGTAGCTGAGTGATAAGTTGCTGTTGGGAAAGTAAAAAACGAAAAGTGCACAATGATGGGTGGTTTGTGCGGTAAAAATAGCCGACAGCATACCTTTTTGAAGTCAATGAGTGATATGAGAAGATGAGAGTCAAGGGGGAGGTGTTGCAACATGAGACTGTGGTAATTAATGAGCAGCTGCGCTGACAACCGCTGACTACCTACAGAGTATGTGTAGTCTTTTATTTTTGGTCAAACTCTTGTGTCGCATACATTCAACACACTGCGCCACCTTGCTGTGTCAACATGTCATGTGTTTGATTGTACATACATATATATTTACATAAATGTTCACATACATATATACACATGTATATGCTGGCCACTTATATGTACTTACAGTGTATGTTGAGTGAGATGCGTTTTGAAACCGACGGCGGCACACCGTTTGATGCAATGCAGAGGTATGAGCCCATTTCGTTGCGTGAGATTTTCGTCAGCTTTAATACCTCGCCACGAAATGAAGACACTAGAATGTAAAAGTTAAAAAGCAGTTGTAATGAGAGACAATATTTACCAGTTCGTCGTATAATAAATAGCCAGTAGAATAGGTAAACCTTAAGTAAACTAATTCAAGAGTGGAATAATTGAATTTCTACTTACCCATCGTCTTGGTGCCGATATTGTCTTTAAGTACAATTTCGTTGCCGTCTTCCCGACGCCAAGTCACAATCGGTTCTGGATAACCACGGGCACTGTGTTGATAGAAAAATTGGGAAATAATTAAAATAAATTGTTTTCGCTGTAATTTACAAAAAAAAAAAACAATTATATAAAAAAAAATTTATACATACGAGGGGATTAACGACAATTCGGTAAGTTGACCAGAAAAAAAAAAAAACATAAAAAAAAATATTTTTTGTATTTATTCGTAATCCTTTTTTATCTTCTCTACATAATCGCCATTGATTTCAATGCATTTCTTAACCAATAGATCCACTTCTGAAAACAGTCTTTAAAATCTTGCTAATTAAGTTCATCAAGTCCAACATTAACCGCATTAATATGTCCTCGTTATTATTAAAGACCTTTTCTTTTAAATTTTTTTGAATTTTTAGAAATAACCACAAATCACAAGCTGCTATATCCAGGAAATAGGGTGCTGTTGTATTTCTCCGGTCCCAAATATCGCAATAAAACTACTCGTTATTCAGCAGTGTGGGATGGCGCGTTGTCATGACGTAAAAATTAGGGCCAAACATGCTCTTTTTTCTTGTTTTACAAAAATATTTTGAAAACTCTTGGTGACCACTCTTCGGTAAACACTTTTGCGGTTACCGTCTCACCCTTTTCCAGTGGAAAAGTAGCTACGATTTTAGATCGGTTGTAGTAAACGGACATCATAACTTTTCCTACCGATTTTTGTTGCTTAAACCGTAAACTCCTGTTCGGATCCATACCATGAACTGCTGTTTGGTGTCTGGATCGTATTCATAGTATCGTGATTCAGCATCAGTAACGACTTTACTAAAGTTGCGAATTTGTGTAAGAAAAATTGAGCAAATGCACTGGAGCCTCTTTTTGGGCCTCATTTAAAATTCGTGGTATCCATCTAGGAGATTTCCTCGTGCATCCCAGATGCTTGCTTAATATTCGCTGTGTCATATGGCATTCATGTCCAATTCATTAGCAATCAGTTCTTATATCAATTTCGGGTCTTGGTCAAAGTTAGACTTCACCAGAGCTACAGTGATGTCAGCAGGGGAAGATTTTCGTCGACATTTTTGGGGGTCCTCCTCTACGAAAAAATATCCGGTATGGATTCTTCGAAACAACTTAAAAATAGTCTTTGAAAACAGCGCTATCGTTCCAAATGCAATTTTGTATTTACTGAATATTTGTATTGGCTGTAAATTACACCGAAAACTGAAGCTTCTAGTTATGCAGTTATAGGGGCGCGACTATACTCAATTCTTACTCTTGCATCCAACTCGGCCACCCTAGAAACGTGTGCAACCCTTGTGGACTCTTGGATCACGCCTTAAAGCGAGGAAGCATCGGTGGAGCCACTCAGACATATTCGGTTTAAGTCGTTGAAGTGTCTGTTCAACAGAGGTGCAGTTGCGCGCTGGCGTGGTTTGAAGAAAGCAGCTCGCTATATAAAAGTGCCAAAAATGTAAATCTACTCTCATAGCGAGGTTTGGTACCCGCCACATAGAAATCAGCTTCAATGAAAATAATGATACGTCCTTCTTTTAATAAATACTTCTACAAATTATGGATTAAGGACATGCACCTCGAATATCCGATCTGTTCCAAAGCTTCCTGATGTCCTCGTAAGACTAAAGGCTTACACCACGGCCTTTCAAGAATGAGGAGAGTAAGTGTCTGTGAAATTTACTATAGTGGCCATATAAAGAAGGGTAATGTTGGTGTCGGTTTTGTGGTGGGACAGAGATTCCGTCGGCAAATCTTATCAATCACTCCGGTGGATGAACGTCTCGCCGTAATCTGCATCAAAGTGTACTCTTGCTCTTTGTGAGCATTCTCGCTTAGCAATTCAGTTGTTTTTCGAAAAGCGCAAGAGATGGTACGGTGATGATTCCTGTGCTGCAGTGGAGAGAACAGAAAATAAGAGCCGTAAAATGGATACCGAGAGTTGAAGAAGGAAACGACGATGACGCATAAGCAGACAAAAAAAGGTAAGAGGCCTGAAAAAAAGCTGTAAGGACTTATTCACATATACATACACATATATTCTAATTGGATCTAAACAGGAGATAATGCCACCGATGTGCAAAGTATACTGAATTTATGACGGGAACATTCTCCAGCCTGTTGAATGGCAATCAAATTGTAACATTAGGAGGTAGCGAACCCGACTCCCCAATCTATGAGTGTGGAACAAATATTTCTTTACGCGACGCGATGTTCGAGTAGTAAATACCCGTTTGAAAAACAACTAAAAATTTAAATTATGCATGCAACAGCTTCTTTGCAGAATATGACCGGATAAAAGCATACCCGATGACTAGAACGTGATCCCCAGCATACCCAACGTAGGCCCTGCATGTGGAGAGTCTCCGCACGATACTAACCATCTTTTCACATGCCCCCTCAAACCAACTCATCTAACCCACCTCTCCCTTTGATCCGACCCCGTCAAAACCGCTCGTTTCCTGGACTTCCCATTAGTTTTGGAAGATTTATGGTCCTTTGCGCTTTAGAATGGTGATAACTGCAGTCGATAGGTCGTGTTGTAGGGATGGATGAGACTACTCTAGCTTTGAGAGACTACTCTAGCTTTGAGACATAAGTGCTTTTTTGCTAAAAGCACAGAAATTTTTTTCTGCCTTTTTTGCTTGTTAACTCAGTACGACTAAATAAAGACGACAAAATACAACTCTGCACTAAGAAAAAGAAAACTTTAAAAAATTTGTTAAATGAAGAAAAACTGATATTCTTAAATAAAATTTTTTAAACCAGTCTTACTTGAAATTTCAAAACATATGTCATTGCCAGCCAATTTCTTCGGGCACTCAAACAATAGCAAACAAACATATGTAAATAAAAAGTAATATTTAGAAAATATGCCAGCGAGACGAGAATGTCTGCAACTACTACCTAGACGTTCACTGTCTTTGTTTCGTATGCTCCCTAATGTATGCAACACTTTTCATGATTGCATTATTTGCAGGCAAATGTCTACCAAACAAAAGCCGGCAGCTGCTGCAGCAAAACAATAGCGACGACCGACCGACTCAGCAGCCAACTCTGTGAAGTCCATTTACACAGTGTCAGTGACTGGTTTAAACTTTCAAAGCATGTTTGCATACTTTTGGGCGTTTAAACATAAGTGTGAAACAAGCTGCTAGCTAATAAGCGAAAGCCGCCGGTAAGCAAACAGTTTGGCAAATAAGAAAATATAAAAAAAAGAGTGTTGAAAACTTTCAACGAACTTTTGCAGCATCATAAATTGCAGTGCAGTGCATTAATTAATTCATTTGTCGGTCGGAAATTATTTAGTCTTCCATTTAAAGTTCAATGTCTGACAAGTAAAAGAGAGTCGTAATAAAATTAAAAAAACAAAAAATGTGAAAAATTTATATAAACTGAATTTCGGAACTAAACTAACGCAGTTAAGTTAAAAATTTAATAACAAACAATTGACCCTTTCAGTGAGCTCTCCACTGCAGTACGCAGTTCTTCCCTGCGTACAAAGCAGCTCGTTTGAGTGTATTCGTTTAGCCAATAAATCACTTACTAAGCAAGCACATAATACCAACTGACCAAGCACTTTGGAAGCGCCATACACACTCTACGCAGCTCCCCACTTTTCCCTCACTCACCACTTTCTACTGTATTTTGCTTCTTTCGCTCTACTTTGCTGCAAACGGTCATTCCATTCATTATTGTGGAAAATGTGGTAGAAATTTTGCTACTTTGTGGTACATTTAGTAACTGTACACTTGCCTCAGTTGGCCCGCTGATACGTTGGTACTCGCAAGTAAGTTAGCTCGAGGGCATGGCGGCGAAATGGCAAAGTTCTGCCCACTAAATCAAGAAGAATGAAGTGTCGCTTAATTTGTTGACATTATTACTTAATGGCAGTGGACACACACGTACCTAACGTTGGGGCAGGAAGATTTTGTTGAGTTATTTGTTGTGGTTTTATTACTGTTGCGTAAAGTTTTCTTTTGTACTGCTTTTTGCTGATCTAAAATTGACACAAATGACTTTGATCTACTCCACCAGCTGTGTGGCGTTTCTATCATACGTATTTAGCAGACATTTTTTTTTTTTGTGGGGATATTAATGAGGTGGTGAGTTATTTAATTTAGAAAAAGTTTATATAATTAAATATGTGCTTGGGGATACTTCACATTTAAATTTTACTATTATTTTAATTACACACAAGTATTTTAATAGAATATATTTATTAAATAATATTATATACATAGAAATATTATAGCCTTTTTTACTCTTTCACTCACCGACATGTCAATTTGACCGAACTGCCCTCCGGTACAATCACATCAGATGAAGTATCCTCGGCAACAAAGTCTGGTGGTATCACCACGTCCAGAAAGCCAATCTGTAAAGTTAAAAAAGGGGGGAACATTGCAGAGTCAGCACTCAAACAATATTGATTGTTATCTATGACCAACCAATAATGAAATAGTCATACAAATTTATAATTTATTTGTCAGTATTTTAAAATAATTTTTACCTGGATTATTACATACTAATTATTAATAGGTAACATCACTGGAGATAAGTAGAAGAAAAATTTTAATTTAACATTGTATTGGGTTGCCCAAAAAGTAATTGCGGATTTTTCAAAAGAAAGTAAATGCATTTTAATAAACCTTAGAATGAACTTTAATCAAATATATAATTGCAATTTTGTTCGATAACCTTTTGCCATCTTCCTGGCAAATTTAGTATTCCACGCTTATAGAACTTCTGGCCTTTATCTGCAAAAAACTGAACCAAGTGCGATTTTATAGCCTCATCATTGCTGAAAGTTTTACTATTTAAGGAGTTCTGCAAAGATCGAAATAAATGGTAGTCTGATGGTGACCTTGCTATATGGTGGATGAATCAAGAGTTCCCAATTCTGGTCGCTTCTCCTTGATCGCTGTATTCAATTTGTCCAATTGTTCACAGTAAACATCCGAATTAATCGTTTGGTTCCTTGGAAGCGGCTCAAAATATACGACACCCTTCCAATCCCACCAAACAGACAGCATAACCTTCTTTTGGTGGATATCAGCCTTCGAAGTGGTGTGAGCTTGTTCACCATGCTTGGACCATGATCGTTTTCGACTAACGTTGTTATAAACAATCCATTTTTCATCTCCAGTCATGATTCGTTTTAAAAACGAATCGAATTCAATGCGTTTAAGGTGCATATCGCAAGCGTTGATTCGGTATGTTAAATGAATTTCTTTCAATACATGTGGCACCCAAATATCAAGCTTTGTCACCAGTCCAAGACCTTTTATGTGATAATGAACGGTTGAGTTTGGTATATTTAACTTCTCTCCTATCTCACGCTCAGTTACATGACGATCCAATTCGATTAATGCTTTGATTTGGTCATCATCAACTTCATTTGGCCGACCTTAACGTGGCTCATCTTTAAGTGAAAAATCCCCAGAACGGAATTTGCGAAACCAATTTTGACACTGTCTTCCCTTTAAGGCTTCATCACCATACACATCTCGTAACTTTTTAGCAACCTGCTCCGCATTTTTTCCTTTACGGAAATAATAAAGTAAAATATGACGAAAATGCTCCTTTGTGGGCTCCATATTAAAATTGACGCCAAACAATCAAATGTAAACAAAATTTCGCGCACTTTTTTTCTAAAGCAAGCCAAATGTAACAGCTGATAACTGACAGAAGAAAGAATGCAATTACAGAGTCACAAGCCGTTGAAAAAATTTGTCAACGCGACTATATGAAAAATCCGCAACTACCTTTTTGGGCAACCCAATATTTGAACCTTGTAGGGTAAGGGACATAAGATTTTAAACATGTCGAAAATTAATTTTCTTGAAATTTTGAGCACTTCTACCGAGCACGCCCATATATTGATCTAATAAAAACTAATCCATTGTTTTAGCATGAATTTGAAGGTTAGAATTTTGCGATTTATGTCAATTTTGCAGCTTTTTACTCAATAATTTTTTATCATTTTGAAGGTAATGCCCATATGCCTCTCTCAGAGAAACTGTTTTTTTTCTTTTGGGCACAAAAATTAAAAAAATTTTAAAGGGTGATTTTTTAAGAGCCATAGGAAAGTTTTTCAAAAACGAAACACATAAAATTCAGAAAAATGTCAGAAATTTTTATTTGAATCGATGGTACGGTCAATAGAATTTAAAGTTTGAAGATTATATCGTGCAAATGTTGACTGTGACTGCGCCTCAAATGGTTCATCCGCTTAGTCCAATTTTGGCATACTCTTTCCAACATTTTGGCCGGTATCTCACGAATAAATGCTTCAATGTTGTCCTCCAAAGCGTCAATTGAAGCGGCCTTGCACAAAAAAAAATCGCACGATCTAGGCGGCGAAGTGACCGGTCTCGGACGTGGAATAAAATGTTCACCGAACTCGCCTCTCAACAAGACCATTGTTACGCGTGCTGTGTTGCATGTGGAACAGTCTTGTTGAAACCATATGTCATGCAAGTCAAGCTCTTTCATGTTGGGCAAAAAAAAGTTTGATATCTCACGGTAGCGCTCACCAATCCCAGTTCCGTTACGATTCGCATCGTTGTTGAAGAAATACGGCCCGATGATGCCACCAGCTCATAAACCGCACCAAACTGTGTCTTTTTCTGGATGCATTGGTAGTTCTTACATTACTTCTGGCTGATCTTCACTACAAAATGGGCAATTCTGGTTATTTACGCACCCATTAAGTAAAAAATGAGCTTCGTCGCTGAACACGATTTTTTTATTTTATTTTATTTTTTTATTTTTTTTTTTTTTTGAATTTTGGTAATAAAAATCAATAATTTGCAAACGTTGTTCGTTTCTAAGACGATTCATGGTTAAATTTTAGACCAAACTCTAGATGTATGACAGTGATACAAAAAGACAATAGCTAAAAAGTCACCCTAACAGGCTAATTTTTCCTCATCTAAATCATACGGCATAGTCAGGAACTAACAAAAGTCGCTGGCTATAATGCGTATACACAAAAACATTCCAATCAAGGTATCGGAGCTTCTGGCGAGCCGCAATCGATGTGTTTGGTCTGGCGTTCTCCTAATGAAATACAATTCCCCACCAACTGGCCAAAGCTGTGCGCTTCTGGACGATTGCTTTCTTCATTCTTGGTCTGACATGACTGACAGCATATTAATGATAGGTCCGAAATACAAAATACCGTCAAACGTGACCGCGACCACGACCGTTTTCTTCTCACGTTGCTATAAGTGATACACTTTCCAGCACCGGTACCCATCCTCTTCAATAATGGTTTCAATCAGATTTACGCTAGAAATCTAAACAAAATGAAACCATTATTGAAGAGGATGGGGACCGGCCAGATCACTAAAGTCGTCGATTACAAAAATATTAGATTACCTTTTACTAGGCCTAATATGGTTTTTATTAATCTCAAGACTTTAAATGGGTTTTATTGAAAGCATAAATAATTTTCAAACATTTCAATTAGGGTTTTTCCTATCACCTAAAGCACTATTTTTCTTCAAACGTTTGAAAATTACACAAAAAACTTTAATTTTAAATCTCCTAAGTGATTCTCTAGCTATTCTTATATAGAATCTATAGACATACTTTGCAGACGCTGAAGCAATTTTCGGCTGATCTCCTTCTCCAATTTGTGGTTTTGCGTCTTAATGTTCTTCCAACAATTGGAGGGGCCTACAGTTTATAATAAACCACCTCCGAACGGCTGAGGCTTTTTCTTCGAGGAGCTTTTCTTTCATGTCCGAAATACTTACATTCGGAGGAGTTGACATGCCCCGCCGAGGGACGACCGCATTTGGAAAGTTTAACTTATTTTTTTTTAATTAATTTTTTATAACTTTTGGATGTAGGTCGTACTAGGATGTGAACTCGGGACTTCCGAATGGCGTACGCAATGCTAACCACTCCGCTATCGCGGCCGCCATTTTGCCCCCTGTGAGCTCTTGTAAGAAAAGACGCGGAAATGTTTACACTTTTGCGTCTTTGCAATATTTTTTACTGTAAATTACTGGTCAATGGTTGTTTTAGCACGTCTAAAGCCACACCTATAAGGTCCAACCAATTTGTTAACGCTGAACTTTAGTCTTTCACATAATACGCTCTTTATCACCTTATATGCCATACACCAAATACGCTCATGGTTGCGTTCAAGAGATTTTCACATTTCTCCCTAAATGAATATGCTCTCGTTTTGAAGCCTTCTGTGAGTAGAATTTTTGAGCTTTACCCTTGTCAACTAGATTCTCAAGTACTTCCAGCCCGCACGTGGCTGTGTATTAATAAAAACAAATGAAGACGATAATCGCGACATAAAGAGAAGAGGAATGTTGAATTTCGGATTTTGGTCAGTGTGAGAGGTACCACTTCCATTGTTGGGAAGAAAATATTCAGGTTTCAATCGTTTGGCATACTTTCGTCCGATCATACTCTGCATTTCTCGATTTCAACCTCATTGGTATTTTCAATGATGGATCCTGCCCAATATTTCACAACAATTGAGTAGTGAGAAGCAGCACTTCTTCTTAAATTCAATGTTCTCTGAAAGTCAGTCGCAATATAAACTTTGTCATTTCCGGAGTAAAGAGCTTCCTCCCATTTTTTCTCATCTTACTGATTGAGTTCGGCTTCTGATAACATCGCTTCTGCCAATAAAACGTTTTTTTTTGTTCCGAGCAGACATGCTTCAACAGTTATTACCAAGAAACTTATATACTTAAATAAATAATACTCTATATAATGTACATACGAGGGGCTTAACGACAGTTTGGTTAGTTGACCAGAAAAAACAAAAAAAATCTTTTTGTATTTATTCGTAATCTTTGCCCTTTTTTATCTTCTCTACATAGTCGCCATTGATTTTAATGCATTTCTTAACCTCATAGGTCCCCTTCTGAAAACATTCTTCAAAATCTTGTTTTTTAGGTTCATCAAGTCCAGCATTAACCGCATAATTTATGTCCTCGTTGTCATTAAAGACCTTTTCTTTTATATTTTTTTTTGAATTTTTAGAAATAACCACAAATCACAAGCTGCTGTATCCTGGAAAAAGGATGCTGGACGTATTTCTTCGATGCCAAATATCGCAATAAAATTACTCGTTATTCAGCAGTGTGGGATGGCGCGTTGTCATGATGTAAAAAGTAGCGCCGCAAATCCTCTTTCTTCTTGTTTTACAATAATATTTTGAAAGCTCTTGGTGAGCACTCTGCGGTGTACTATTTTGCAGTTACCGTCTGACCCTTCTCCAGTGGAATAGCAGCTACGATTTTAGATCGGTTGTAGTAAACCGACATAATAACTTTTACTGCTGATTTTTGTTGCTTAGACTTTAAAGATGGTTTGCTCCAGTTGGGTTCCATATCATAG